CCCAAAACCCCAAAACCCCAAAACCCCAAAACCCCAAAACCCCTATTTCTGATAAAATTATTGAATTTGGGTGAATAGATAATGGAAGAAAGCAAATCCAAGATCCCAAGTGGATATTCGATACAACAAGACTTTGAAGAAGAGGTGCAGAGAAAGCCGCTATTACTAGACAGCTATCAAGATAATATGTAAGCAAAAAAATCATGTTTTGAAACAAATCTCAACTTCATGCTAAATCTTTGCCATTATTTCATGATTTAGGGGGATTAATGAGTCTACTGAGGAAGATTCCTTCTTAGGATCAGCGCAAGAGCCTATGGAATACGTTACAGCAGAACAACGAATTCTGTACGAAGGGATGTCTCCACAACAGAAAGCAGGCTTGGTTTCTAGAATTCTGTTCTTTTGGATCAACCCTCTGATCTCAGTAAGACAAATTTTCAATTCTATAGTATTCGAAAAAGAATAAATTAGATAAAGAAATTATTGGTAAACTTCCTGAGAGCCAAGCAACAGAGGTTAACTCTGCTCGGCTTCAGGAAAAATGGGAGAAATGGAGAAACAGCAAAGGCAATACACTATTTTGGGCCCTCATACACTGATACTGGAGTAAGAATCACCAATTTTATTCATTTTTTGATATAATGTTTATTTTATAGAGGAATTCCTGTTTGCAATCTTTCTGAACCTGATTTCTGCATGACTAGATCTCTTCTCTCCATTCTTTTTCAAAGAGATCATGACATTTGTGCAAGATGATACAGGAGAGTATCCACGATCAAGAGCTATAATGTTCGTGTTTTTGACTTTTGCTACACAACTTATTGGGAAAACTATTTTTGAAAATGCAAGATTTTATCAGCTCCAGCTAGGAGCAAGGGCTTCTCACTCACTCGGATCGTTGGTTTATACAAAAACTCTAAAAATATCTCCAGCAACAAGCAAGAAGTATAAAAAGGGAGATATCGTGAATTTCATCCAAGTCGATGCAAAGAAATTCATCTTTTTGGCAGAATCTTTGCCTAGCGTGGCAAGACTTCCTCTTGTCCTGCTCTTTTCTATCGGACTTCTATTTTATTACTTTAAGTATAGCTTCTTTGCAGGGTTATCTGTGCTCATAGTAATGATTTTGATTAATTATGGCCTTGCAAAACTCACTTTCAGATTCCAGAATATTGTCATGAAGAAATTAGACAAACGAATGAACATCATGAGTGAATGTTTAGATAATATCCAACTTATCAAGCTTAATGCCTGGGGTGAGAAATTTACTGAGAAAATTAACGAAGCAAGGTTTGAAGAGATCTATGCACTTTCATGGAGATTCTTCATGTCAGTATTAAATGCCTTCTTTATCAATGGAACTTATCCAATCCTCGCTCTTGTCTCATTCACAGCAGCTATTTTTGGAGCAGGTTTTGAGATCTCAATTCCAGTTGCTGTTGCTTCGATTCAATCAATGAATTTGTTAAAAAGTGGAGCTAGATGGCTGCCCTTTTTCTTCGGAATGCTGATAGAATTCCTAGTGTCGATGAAGAGGATCCAAAGCTTCCTGCTATCAGATGAGATTGATCTCAAGACCATTCAAGATTCCCCAGAGCCTGCTTCAGAAGCGCTCATAATCCAGAAAGCCAACTTCTCATGGGGTTTTAAAGAGGAGAAAAAGGTAGAGAAATCTAGTGAAGAAGAATCAGAAAAGAATGGAGATTCATCCCAAGCCAGCCTTTTGGAAGAATTTAAGTCTGAAGTTAGCACCGAGTACAAGATTTCAGACACTGTTATTCTAAAAGATCTTGATATTTCAATTAAACAAGGAGAATTTGTAGCTATAATAGGGGAGGTAGGCTCAGGCAAGACTTCACTGATTCATTCCATCATTGGTGATATGGTTAATATCGACCAATTTACTCTAGAGAAATATCAAGATGAGTATGCCCAGTCCCCAGAGGATTCAACACTGAACCAAGAGCTTATAGATAGATTTAACAAATCTCTTGAGGCTAATAAAGACCAAGTCTATAGGGATCCTCCTATAAAGATTAATGGAAAGATCTCTCTCATCGAGCAGAAACCTTGGATTCAGAACAAAACCATTCGGGATAACATTCTATTTGGAGAAACTTTGGTTATGGAAAAATATAACGAAACCATTGAGTACAGCCAACTTGGGAGAGACCTCTCAATTCTTGAAGGAGGTGACCTTACAGAAATCGGGGAGAAAGGAATCAACCTCAGTGGTGGTCAAAAGGCACGGATCAGCATCGCTAGGGCTATATACTCAGATTTTGATATTGTTTTAATGGATGATCCTCTTTCAGCACTAGATGCACACGTGAAGCATAAAATTTTCAAACACTTGCTCACTGAGAAGCTGAAGGATAGGACAAGAATCATGGTAACCCATGCGATAGACTTCTTGGATAAAGTAGACAGAATCATAGTTATGGATAAAGGAGAAGTCATCTTTGATGGCTCTTTCGAAGAAATCAAGTCAAATGAGTACTTTAATGTCATCCTATCTCACATGGATAAGGATGAATCAGAAGGAGAAGGAAGCTCTGAAGATGATAAAGATGATGGAAATAGTGAGCTCCAGTGAACTAAAAACTATCTAAGCGAGAAAGGATCTACCATCACAACTAATGAGAATGAAGAAGAAGTCAATGTAGAATGGGCCACATATCTTCGATACTTTCTGTATAATAAAGTTACAGCTATGCTCATTATTGTTGGAGCAATAATGCTGATCATTGCTCAAAGTTCCACAGTTGCATTTGATGTAACTTTACTAAAATGGCTAAATTACATCACTGAGGAAGGGAAGAATAACACGAAAATGTTTATCTTGATTCTTGTGTTTATTGGCATTTTCATAACCTTCTTCATCATAGCAGTGCATCTAATCTTTGTTTCATCTCTGAAATTGTCAAAAACACTGTTTAAAAACATGAATCAAAGTATTTTTAACGCGCCAATAAATTTGTACTTTGATAAAACTCCTACTGGAGTTATTCTGAATAGATTTTCCAAAGATCTCAACGTTGTTGACAATGCTATACCTTAGTAAGTATTCAAGCTTGACTTTGTAGTGCAGTGAGATATGTAATATGGAGCTCCCTCCTAGTCCTCTCAGCTATCGCTGTAGCTGTCTATAACGTGGTATGGGTCCTAATAGCAATTCCCTTCATGTTTTTGATAATTTATTGGCTGTTCAAGTCATATATAAAAGCTCTGAAAGAGGTCGCAAGAGTCGAGAGCATTACTAACAGTCCTGTACTTACTCACTTAGGAGAAAGTATGCTAGGATCTTCCACTATCAGAGCTTTTAAGAAAACCCAAATGTTTAGAAAGAACCAATTCACTCTACAAGATTTTAACCTGAGTTCTATGATCATGAGCAAGGCTGTGAAGAGTTGGTTTAACATCAGGTTGCATATGATTCAGCAATTTCTTACATTAGGATCAACATTTTATTGAGTAAGTCGATAATTTATCAATCATAGGTAATGTTTAAAGACTCACTTGATCCTGTCATTATCGCTATTATGATGGTGTACTTGATCATGATCCAGCTCAACCTCACATTGTTGTTCCAAATGACTTCCAACATGGAGGAACACATGGTGTCCTTTACCAGATGTTTGAACATCTGAGGGATCCCTCAGGAGGCAACCCAAAGGAAAGTCATTCCTTGTGATGCAGATGGGAATCCTTGGATTAGCAAAGGCAGTATCACTTTCAAGGATTACTGCGTGAGATATAGACCAGAGACTGAGCTCGTTCTTCAAGACATCAATCTTGAAATCCAATCTGGTGAGAAGATCGGGGTGGTCGGCAGAACAGGAGCTGGAAAAAGCACACTTTGTATTGCTATTTGCCGGATTATCGAAAAATATTCAGGAAGCATCCTTATTGATGGAGTCGATATTTCCAAAGTTGGCCTAGCAGATCTCAGAAGCCGGATCACAGTGATTCCTCAAGAGTCTACTTTATTCAAAGGAACTCTAAGGTTTAACCTTGATCCGGATGGCAAAAGCTCAGAAGAAGAAATCATGAGGCTTCTTGATAAAGCTGGTCTAATCGACCTTATCATGCGCGATGGTAAAGGCCTGGATTTTGAAATCGAAAGTAAGGGTGATAACCTCAGTTCTGGTGAGAAACAACTAATCTGTATCTGTCGTGCTATTCTTAGAGTAAGTTTCTTTCTTAGTTGTAGAAAAACAGAATAGTTATCATGGATGAAGCCACAGCTAATATAGATATCATGACTGAAACTATTGTCCAATCCTTGATTAAAGAGGAATTTACAGACTCAACTGTGATCACAGTTGCACACAGACTCAATACAGTCCTTAATAGTGACAAGATTCTCGTGCTCGGCTTTGGAAAAGTCCTTGAGTATGATACTCCAGAGAGGCTTAGAAATGATGAAACTTCTGAGTTTTACTCTCTTCTGAACGAATTCAAGCAATAGGAAAACATATTTGAACTATTCGTTTTCAATGAATTCTGCATATTTTGGGGTTTTGGGGTTTTGGGGTTTTGGGGTTTTGGGGTTTTGGGGTTTTGGGG